ATGAAGTTGAGATCATCGAACACCGTACTGCTCCTACTTCGACACAAGCTCAACCTCGTAAGCGTCGCCAAAGACCCTCTTCTGGAGGGCACTCAGACTCTCAAGCAGCAGCTCAGAAGAAACAAAAGAGCAAACCTGCAAAGAAGAAGCGTGTGGCCCCGCTTCCAAAGGTGAGATATTGTATTGAACAGTTTCATTTACCTTGCTCGAGTTGAGTCTAATTTTGATTTTGTTATGTTAATGGAAAAATCAAGGTCATCATGGTTCCAGACGGTATGAACGTTGACCGAACTTCCGATCGTGAAGAAGATGTTACTCAGGAGTCTAAGGGCAAGGCACGTACTGCCAAAGTCAAAGATTTGTTTGATTACTATGAGAAAGAACCTCGGGAGGCAATGGAAAAGTATAAAGAACTTGACAAGGTATGTTATTGGCCATTTTCTTTGAAATTCGATCCTGTCCTTCTGCTGATTAATGTATTTGTCAATACATTTTGTTAGAAAACTAATAAAAAGGTCGAAAAGTGGAGAAAAGTATTTTGGTATAAATGCAAGTGGTGCGAAAATGAATACAAGGATGGTGAAACAAATCATTATAACTTACAGACACATAGAGATGGAAAACAGAATCGGAAACCGTGTCCTCAACGTCATATTGCAATCAAAAATAGTGCTCGGTGTCCACCAACTTGGGAAGAAGAGAACACGCCTGATTCGCCTGAAATGAAACAATCTACAATAACTAGTTTTGTCAAATTCACTGTTGAGACACTGAACAAGATGATGGTCTTATGGATCCTACTCCATGCTCTTCCCTGGCTCCGTATCGATGATCACGAACTTTCCGCCGCTTTTTCATGGTCCAACCCGCAAGCTCTTCTTCGATCTCCGACTTGGATAGCCAAAGAGGCCAAAGGTTTGGCTCGATCACTTCAAGACCAGGCTATCTTGACCCTCAAAAATAATCCGAGTAAATTTTGTTTAATTCACGATGGATGGACTACCAAGGGAAGTCGGTATGCCTTCCTTGGTGTATCAGCTTCGTATATCGACGATAATTGGGAATTTAAAACGATCCATTTGACTCTCAAGAGAATCATTTGGGATCACTACGGCGTGTTACTTGCTCGACCTGTTGGATCATTTCTCATGCGCCATGGTCTTCACTCAAAGATAAGTTCCAAGTTTGATTTATTTTCAATCGACTGTAGTTTCACCTGCTAACTTTATGTATAACAAAATATCTACATGTTAGCACAAACTACGGACTCAGCCGCGAGCAACAACTTCCTTGCTCGCGAGCTCGAGCGTATGTTCATCGAGGATGCGAAGGATCCAGTATTTTGGAACTCTAACAGTAACCACATACGCTGCTTTTGTCATAAGCTAGCACTTTCAGTCAAGCACGGATTGGCTAGCCTTGAACTAAAAGCTGGTCACGTTAAGCCAACCACTCAACCGGATGTTCGCATGCCAATTCCAATCTTGCAGATCAATGGAAAAAGTGTTGATCAAGATAGTGATCAAGAGCACATCACTTCAGAATCAGAGAACGAGGCTGAAAACGGGTTAGAAAAAGTTACAGTATCTGACAGTGAGGACGACTTACCTGCTAAAGATTTGACACCTAAACCCACATGGGGTTTGGTCACCAGTGGGGTGAAGAAAGTGAGTGAATTGTTCTATTTTCATCCAAAATCCCAATAAAAACTCATAACATCATACTTTAAACTTACAGATCGAACAGGTCAGCCAGGCAGTTTCCTCTTCTCCAGCAAAGCGTGGCGAATACAAAACCGTAGCAGCAAGTCTCGTATACAAGGGCAAGATGCTTATATACGGGTACGGAGTCCGATGGAACTCTAAACTGGACAGCTGGCAACGTGCCTGTGATGCTCAAAACGTACGTATGTGTACCATCCACCAGTGTTTATAGTTGCTGATGAACTGCTTTTCCACTATTCCAGGTGATCAACAAGTTTCTCAACCAGGATCGCAAGAAAGACAAGAAAGAACAGCGCTTCAACTCGCTTCGTATCTCTGATGAGGAATGGAGTGGGTTAGAGGCATTACTCGATGTCTTGAAGGTATTTAGTTCATGTCATTTTGATTGTCAATGTTACTCGGTAACCTAACTTGATCACTCATTAGATCTTCAAGGAAACGACTCTAGCCATGGAAGGAAACCATTCCAATGCTTATTGTGTACTTCCAGAATATGTCAATATTCTTAAGCGTCTGGACAAGACAAAAGCAGAATACGGCACACTATATCCTGAACTCGGGGCCGCCATCGACACTATGAAGCGCGAAATCGAATCGTACATACGAGAAGCCCTCGAGTGTGATGCAACAGTTATTGCTACAGTGATGCATCCTAGGTACCGACTACAATTCTTTCACAAATTCTTTTCTGACCACGTTCCAAGGGTTCGTGAGCTTGTCGAAGCTGCATACAAACTCGAATTGGCTTCTAGGCCAAGCACCAAGAGCACATCAGCATCAAAAACAACTCCTTCCGCTCCTTCAACTTCAGAAGATTACCTCGATGATTTCAGCGATGGTTCAGATGATGAAAATACAACTGGCACCGATATAGAATTGAAACAGTATTTAGACAAGAAATGCATTGCTAACAAAGGAGTCTTGCCTCTTTTATGGTGGAAGGTAAATGAATCACCTCAGAATCTGTCTTTAGTTCAACTCATTTAACAGTCTTTTCTCACCGTGTTCCATAGGAAAACCATAAGTTATATCCGATTGTCAGCCGAGTAGCCCGGAACTATTTGGCATGTACTGCTACCTCATGTGCATGTGAACGCACGTTCTCAGCAGCTGGAAGGATTGCCAGCGCGGACCAAGGACTGGCCCCACGAACGATTGAGCGCGCTGTTGGGTGCCATCAATGGCTTAGTCAGGGTATTGAAGTCCCGGAAGGTTACAGAGAAGCTGTAGCAGAGATTAAAAAGGCCAAAGAAAAGAAAGTGTCAAAGAGGCTCAAGAAGACTTGACACTCTCATGTTTTATCATTCGATCACTTTCAAAAACTGTGATTTTTTTGTTTCTTTCTTCGTTCGGCTCACCAAAACTATCCTGATAAATTTTATTTCATTCATTACTTCAATTCTACAACTATAACCCCTAATGTATGTTTCTCCTCCTCTCCAAATGCTACCCCTAATACATATGTTTCTCCTCTCCTTTGTTACCTGTTTGTCCCTGTGAAAACCGAAATAAATTGCGGTTTCGGTTCGATTTCGTTTCGAATTGCGATTTATCTAACGCACCGAAACCCTAAGGTGAATTTGAGTGTTTCGGTTCAGATTGTGATTTCGCTTGATTGCGTTGCGGTCCAATCTCAACGAAACGAAATATCCCTATATTTCAGTGCGTTTTGTTTCGATTTGGGTGTTGGTACGGGGCAGTAGAGCCCGGGTACCGAAGGAAGCAAACGGAGTGAGAGAAGTCCCACGCACAGATAGTGCTGGGTAGAGAGATGGATTGAGTGGAAGTAACTTCCATCTCGAAGAGAACCTTTTAACTTTTCCATACGGAAAACAGGAGGAAGGTAACACAGACAAACTCAAGACATCTTTGTTTTCATTTCAAACTTTTTCTTTAAAAAATATATCGCTCTATTCCCTTAGACATCATCATTTTATTCAAAAATTATAGGAAAAATGGCAGCACAAGAATTCGCAGATGAATGCAGTAATAGGGAACTAGAAAATAGAAATAAAGTAGTAGGAACATCAAGAGATGAGGTGGTAGAGGAACAAATAGGTGAAAATTCAAAAGGAAAGAAGAACCAGTTAAGAAACGATGATATACAAGAAGATGGACGAAGAACAGAAGAGATGAAAGGAAATAGTGGACAACAGAAGAATATTTCGAGTGTTCTAGATTCATTGATTATCAGTCCAGTAACTAATCCGATGAATGATCAACGAAGAAGAGATGAGACAGAAGATGTGGTAAATGTACAAGGAACTTTAACAGGTTTAGGTGAGTTTAGAGAGACTTAAAAAGATTGCATAATTCTTTCTTTTCGGAAGCATAAAACCCCCCTCCATACCTTCCCCAAACCCCTTTCCCTCTTTTCTCCGTTTTCTTCCATGATCTTTTGATGGAAATGGCCTAGAATTTTAAAGATCCATATCGATACTACTCGTCATTCTTAGAGATTGAATTACTAGACTAAGACCAAACAAGGAAATCTTATTAGATTGACCAAAACAAGGCTTAGAGGATATCATAATATCCAGACAAGGAAATCTTAACAGATTGACCCAACTTGGCATCCTCCTAACAAGGAAATCTTTAAATGAGATTGACCCAACATGGAGTGGAAGCTATGACTATAGACTGGTTAATTGTTGATTGAACTGTTAATTGTTGATTGAACTGTTTGGATAAAAGAACTGATCAGATAATGTGTGGCTTTATTTTAAATAGGAAGAGTGGCTGAGACGTCTAATAACTCAACGTTTATTGAATTGACTCATAAGAAATGGATTCATAATTTGCAGTCCGCTGTTTTGAAGAGTAACTTAGTGCAATTTAATGTATTGAATCAAGAATATCAAAAGTGGTGTGGCAAAGAAGGGACAAGTCCTAGAGAAATTGAATTATATGACCTGGATTTCGACACTATAATGGAAAGTCCGACGGTGGTAGATAAGTCAGAGAATAGTAAAGATGGATCTAAAACAAAGAAGGTAGTGAATACTACTATGAAGATAGGGGAAGAAGTAACTCACAGGATGACGGCGTTATCAACATATTGGCATGAACTCATGATAAATAAATCAGTACATGTACCAGTCTCAATCTTTTGTCCAAGGTGGTTACTACAAGACGCAAACTTTATGCGAACGAGAAGAGTAAAACCAAGTAGCTGTAGCTCTGATGTGATACCTTATATAGGCTCACCAGTTTTGAATGAATACCGTCTAAGTTTCGCAGAATGGTCCGTTCGGTACAATTTGATGGTAAAATATCAAGAGTTGAAGTACGATATCTTAGAGGGACAGAAGGACTCTCCAATTGCGCCTCGGTTAATAGCGCATAGAGATAACGTTTTGCAAATCCAGATCGATTGTTATGGGAAATGGCCACCAGCGATGCGATACGATATAACTCATCGGAGAAATGTGTGGGAGAATCGTTTGGAATGTGGAGCTATGGCGGACGTAGGAACATTAGATAAGAAGTTGGCGGAACAAGCAGAAAGAGACTCACGTAATTTTGGAGATTTTGATTATGACGATAATCCGTTTGTAATAGGTGGCCCTTTACAGAATGTATGTCCAACAGATGGTATGGTTTATTTGGAAGGAGCATCTTGGGATACGGCGGGTGCAGCAGTTGATGCACAAGAAGAGATCGTGACTGGTCGTACGAAAGCTGTACATCCTCAAAGCGATAGAGGAATGGCTAGCGGGGTGATAAGAAATGGTAGAGGAGGTTATAAAGGACAGTTTTATGATCCTAATTACCAAAGAAATCAAAGATTCTCGAACAGTCAATTTGGAAATCAAAATCAGAACTTTGGACAAAATCAACGGTTTTCTACTAATAATAACCATGGTACTCACCCGTATAATAATAATTTTAATAATGGGAATTTTGGTAACAATAATGGTCATGGGACGTATGGAAGAGGAAGTGGATCCTTTATGAGAGGGAGTGGCCATGGAGGTCAAGGCGGGGGTAGGAGTTTTGCAGGAGAAAGGCCGGCGATAGGAGTTGGTAGTTTTCATAGAGCAATGGCCCAAAAACCGAATACTGGAAAGAGTAATGGGAGTGGTAATGGTCAATTGTCAGCGTCTGGCTCGAAGTGAGTAAAAAAAAAAAAAAAAAAGGGAGCTTTGTTACCTGCTAGTGGAGATTGTATCCCCTGTTTTTGTCTCAGAAGTTGTTCTCTTTTCTCTTACTTGATGATTAGGTTGTTGATTGTGTTGTTGATTTCTTTGTTCGCTTTCTTTGTTTCTTGATGTTGTGCTTGATGGAATGAATGAAGTAACAGAGAGCGAGTGACTAGTTCAAGAGAGATGTTGAGACAAAAGGAGAAAGCCATGAACGATGAGAGTAATGAAGGCCGAGAAGAACAACTATATGATTATGTAGTAGATGATCAGGAAGAAATTGAGATGTGGCCGAAGGAGGTGAAGTGCAAAATGCAGTTGGAAGAATGGAGATTGTTATTAGAAGATTGCAAGTTAACGGAAAAGTGGGATAAAGTATGGACAGGACTTACGAGTGGTTTCCACCAAGGTATTCCAGAACATAATATAGGAGAATTGAAATGGTTTACTCCCGAGAATCACAAATCAGCTTTAATGGTCAAGGAAAAAATTATGAATAATCTATATAAGGAAAAAAGATTAGGAAGAGTATATGGTCCTTTTACTCACAAGGTGGTTTTTCGGAAACTAGGTTTCTTCCGGTCGAGTCCGATGGGAAGCGTGACTAATAATGATGGATCTTTACGGATGATAAATGATTTGTCTTATCCG